AATGACCACCGAGTAGCGATTCGAACCCATAATCTCTGGAGTAACAAGGCTGTTACAGTAAATAAGTTATTTCATCAGTTTCAACCGAACACAAATACGATAGCTGTCTTTAGTAAATTATAATCTCGAAACCTAAGTGTAAAACCCATAGAAATACACGAGTAATATGTTCAACAAGTTAAACTCACTGTAAACATGAACTTTGAGAAGATATTTTAATATGTGATCATATTAACCCTTAAGTGCAGTCTGAAGTAGCTTCCTGGAAACAGAACGTTAGTTTAGTATTGCAATATGATTAAGCACTACACCTTTCCTTTGAAGTGGGTACAGATCTAGATGTGTAGAATAGTTTCAAACATTCTAGGATATGGATGAAGGAACTAAGTTCACAGCGCGCGTTTACTGTATATTTATGCTGACTCAGTTACTGAAGTTGATTTCAAATTTCCTTACTTACACTGGGGGTATAACGTACCTAAGTACCACGACAGTCGCCAAAAATTCAATTTCAATTGTATCTTATAAAGATGGTTTTGTGTCAGTGAAGTATAGGCGCAACCACAACTGGCTGCTGCATCATGACAACGCGCCAGCGCACACCGCCCTCAAAGTTCGGCAGTTTTTGGCCTCAAACACTATGGCCGTCATCCCGCACCCTCCTTATTCGTCGGATTTAGCTCCGTGTGACTTCTTCCTCTTCTCAAAGATGAAAATTCAGCTAAAGGGAAGGAGATTTGAGACGATAGAAGAGCTTCAGGCAGAATCGCAGATGGTGCTTGACAGGCTGACAAAGAAAGATTTCCCGGGATGCTTCCAGGCTTGGCAGCGGCGCTGGGATCGTTGTGTTCACTCCCAGGGGAACTACTTCGAGGGTGATGGATGAATTTAATACCTGAGATAAGTGTACGGGTTTTTATACGCGCAGTCTGGAAACCTTTCGAACGCACCTCGTATCTGCAACATTTTAACACGAAGAATGATCGACATCTATAATTCTTGACTTTCCTTACTTGTTCAATAAAATTCTTGTTGTTATGATACCAAAAAAATGTACTGCAATCTCCCCAAAACTAATTTCTAGATGCATCTACGCCCAGTTCACTTTATTTTACATCTTTACGGCCATGTTTCATTTTCATAATATCTCACCAACCGCGCATCGGCCTTCAAACTCATCTTCCCATGAAGATATCCAAACAAATCTTGTAACAATTTCTTGTTTCCATGACCGCCAAATGTCCAGCTCAATTTAATCTTAATAAGTTTAAAATTTTCACAACATATTTAAAATTTTCACGGCGACTGTATGCAGTGAAGTCTTGTTGGGCGATCATACGTACACGTTAACCCTTTAGAAGGTTAATACTAAACAGAAGTTGTCTTTAAACTTTGCATCATTTATTTAAATTGCGTGTTAACGTACTATAAAAGCACTTATATTATGAAGTAGCACGGCAATTTCTGAATTAATCTTAAATAAAACGATCGCTTTGTCCAATAGGCCTATGAGATGGGCGTTAAGATTTACGACAAAAGATAAATTCCGCTGGACATTCGTTGTGGATAAGATAGTACGCACTTACAAGCTTTTGATTACGTTAATTTTGACAGTGGTTTTACAAAGCGTACACCTGCCTTCTATCTATGATACCAAGATAATGACGAAATACATAATTACGGTTCAGAAGTGTGGTGGGAGTTCCATGTGCGTAGGCCCGCGAGCTTTTTTGAAGAACCTAAGACTAAGAAACCGTCTGTTAATATTTTAAAAAGTATCAGATTGTCACTAGGTTCATCCCATCATAAAATTTAACATATTTTATCAAACTTTTTATCTTGTACTAATAATGGTCTAGCGGTTAGAACGCTGGCCTTATAATCCTGGGGTCTCGGGTTCGATTCCCGGCGGTGCCCGAATTTATAACTTGTGTTGGGCAAGGCCGTGGTCTAGGCAACACGGAGTTTTCCTCCGTGGCATCCCAACAATTACTCCATTCACACACAGAAGAAGGCAATGGCAAACCACTTCTGGATCATCTGCCAAGAACGTATATGAACAGGTCCCAGTCCGAGAAAAGGATGGAAGGATCCTGTTCATATGGACCTGTCGTCAGACAGAACACTAAATAATAATAATAAAAAATAATTTGTAATTGAAAACAAGAAGACCTTCTATCCTGACTTAGGTTTCTCTAGATCTTCCTCCGTTCAGCCCGTCAAATTGGTCAGATATCATACTCTTTGGACTGCAGCTAGGAAAGGGTTTTGATTATCTGCATTTACCCCCGTGTATAATGGGACGCACACGTATAAACACAGCACGTACTCGTAAACAAAGCAAATAGGTGCAGAGCGCCCCAAGGAACAACTGCTGGATTTCGTCAAACGTTTATCATCCGCTTTAATTAATTTAATTGCATATATTTGGGCCAAAACAATGTCGTTCATAATAAATAAACAAAGAGTGACCCCTCTGACATTCAAAATTACAGCCTGGGTGGATAATAATTTCAAAGTTAAGTCATTATTCTGTGGAAATTTAAAATACATCAACGTAGGGCACAGTATAGCCACGGCGGTCCAGCGGTTAGAACGCTGACCTTGTAATCCTGGG